TAGTACGCGTGAACAAACTAAATCTACTGTGCAGTTAGTGCATCCAGGCATTCGAACAGGGCGTGAACAAACTAAATCTACTTTGTGGTTAGTGCATCCAGGCATTCAAAACAGGGAGGAAGCACTAGATTGACTTCCTCCTTGTTTCCCAACCATCACGGGATAGGGAATGTTCATCTTAAGACCTTAGTCAGTACTTTTCCACTTACTCTTGTTCTCTTTTTCTAATTAAGGTCTACTCATGCTAACTTAAAAGAGACTTTCGTTGCAAAGAGGATCTCTAGATCCATGTCCCTTCTCCTTTAACCATTCCCCAACAGAGCTGGTCTTGGCAGAACCTGAAAGCCGTGACGGTGGAAATTAAAAACCTGATGGATAAAGCTCTGATCCGAAGACGACGGAAGCCAACGGCAGTATCACCCCTGCGGTGAGCTGCTGCGAGGAGAACGGACGGAGAAACCCAACGGCTCGCCCCCACGGGCTCCAGGTGAGGCAACCCCTGTGGCTAACACCACTGGTGTCCAAGTCCACAGGTCTCAGCACCAGTGACAACCCAGAAACCAGAGAGCAGCTGCTCACAGCTCTTCTCTGGACCTGGTTTCATTCGCCGGCATTTAACCGCAGCTGCAAGAATCCCTTCTGACCTCAAACTGAAGTTACAGTCTAAGGCCACGGTACTGAAGAGCCGAGTCAGAAGCAAAAGAGATCAGCAACACAGTAGCAAATTGAGTTTGGATCGGAAATCAAGAAACCTACTTAGAAAATACGTAAAAAAACCCAGTTATTAACAATAACATTGGTTTTGATTACGTCGCTTTTTTAACCTTTTCAAAGCATGACAAAATTAGCAGAGAGCAAGAGTGTGCGCGTGCGACTGCTGGAAAGGGTTCCTGTATAATTACAAACCCTCCGATCAGTATAGCTCTTGGCGCTAGAATATTTGGGGGAAAAAAAAAAAAAAAAAAAAAAAACAACAAACATGCAAAATATGCTTGGTCTTTCTCAAGTCTTTTTACTAGTCTGTGCCTTTGTTTGCCTTGCTTAGGAAAACCAGCTGGTATTAATTGCACTTCATACACCACCATCATGAACAGCAGCCAGATATCAGAAAATAAGGCCTAATCACAGGAATCCACTCAATTGTTTGGGTTTAAAAAAAAAAAAAAAAAAAAAAATTACCGCTCGGAAAAGCAGTAAAATGGGAGCAATCAAAAGAAAAGGCAGGAAGGAGGCTGGTGTATGGAGAACGTGATAAAAATAAACTACAATCACAGAAGGAGAAACAGAAATCTAGGTTACTTAACAGTAATCAGGCTCCTCTAAACATATTGTCCGCGAAGCTCGGAGATGCCGCAGGCTCGTGCCGCGCGGGTAGCCCAGGTCCTGGCACGTCCCCGGAGGCAGAGACGGTGCAGAAGTGTCACGTAAGAAGTTAGAGATGGAAGAGATCTGTTACACCAGCCTTTTCACCTCTTTCCCCACCCTCACTCTTACCATCATCCCTCCTGATGTCTTTTCTAGCCTTACTTCAAGCGATTGCTTCGCCTGGGCACTGAACGGCAGAAGAGATTAAATTCTGGGCCTGGCGTAGCTTTCCTTGCCTGAAGCTCTGCTGTGAATCGGTCTGGGCTGGGAGCAGGTGGGAGAAAAGGGAATATTGGGGCAAAAATATTGAAATACCGAAAAATACTGAAAAGAAGAATATTAATTCCTCCAAAAACTCATCCCGACCGGCTGCAAATCAGGAGTCCCAGATGTAGCACTGGATCTAAAGAGATCACCCTTCTCTGACAGCAATTCCTCTCTCTCTAAAATGGGAAAAGAATCAGGTTATTTGTAAAGAATTGCTAAGACTCCTGGTTTAATTGCAGGAAGCGTAAAGCCAAAATCTGCTCTTCTGTACGCGTGAGAAAGCAATCTGTTTGTCCCTTTTGCTGGATAAAGACACGGAGGGTAAAGACGATGGGAAGCACAATCACAAGTCAACTGATGTGTCATCTCGCGAGCCTTCTCCCCGCGTCGCTTGCCAACTGCAAACATGGAAGGGGCTCGCTTTAATTAATACTGGGTCTCAGCAGACCACTGGAGGCAGTGGCACTTGTTTTCAGGTCATCTGGTCCTAATGGGCTCACACCGGGAGGTGATTTGTTGCTAACTGACAGCAGAGATCGGTTAATGAGGGCTGAAGCCTTACAATCCAATGTAACGAACCTCAGGGCTATTTCTATATTATTTGTCATCATCGTTTTAAAAACAAACAAAAAAAAGCAAACAAACAAACAAACAACAAAAAACAGAAAGCTCAGGGAGATGCTAGTTATTAACGCAGATATTTACAATATGATAATCACTCCCTGCCCTGTAGGATCTTCCCCATGCTGCTCTGCCCCAGGAATTGAGCACGCAGTAAGTGGTACTGTCAGGACACGAGCTATTCAGCAGCCACACACGCATCAGTAGTGTCCCCAGCAGCTCGCCCACGCAGGGCCATCAGCGCGCGGCGACTTCATCTCACCTTCACCCACCCCACGTGCCACAGCACGCTCCACAGTGGAAGCAGACCTCCTTCCAACATCAGGAAGGAGAAAGGATCCACGAAGGTCGGTGGCTTTCCCCGCTCCCCCCAGCTACATCGTCGGTGGATCTACGGAAAGCTCCTGCCTCCCCGTAACAATCACCTGCAAATAATTCCTCGCACGCACTAAGGGCATCCCAGTGGAAGCCCGGTCTGGTGGGGCCACGGCGGCGCTTGCACAGAAAGGCAGCAACACCCTCTGGGCACCCGCGCTGCTGAAGGAAGATTTCCTCTTGCACAGGCTTGAACTGCTGCAAGTACAGAATACCGCGGCCTCGCTTTTCCTCGTGGTGCTTCTGAAGCTCTCCGTGACGGACAGCCAAGGTGTGCAAGACAACCCGGCGCCGGGGCTCCCGCTGGAGATGCACCTAACGGAGAGGTAAATCCCGGCACCGTTTCAGTTTCTGCATTTATTCAAGGCTTGTTGCTCTGGACAGACCACCAGCTCCTTCACCACTGGGGAGTAAACAGTACAACTTAACGGAGGTACAGACCGCGATGGATGAAGAAGCTGATCTACCATCAGCGGACTGATGAGCCACCCGCGTGTCACCAGCGGGGACAACCACACTGCAGGAACAGCAGGCTGGTTTGCTGTAATTTCTTTTATCTACAAGTCTTGGTGTAGCTTTTCAGACTGCTTCAGAGAACGAGTGTTTCTCACAGCGCCACTGACGGTCACTCCTGCACTCTGAACCTATCTTTCTCCTTCAGCTCCTCTGCAGTCAGCCTAGAAGGAACCAGAGATTTTAAAGACCTGCACCAGCTGTCCCAAGATGGACATCTCCGCTCGCCACCCAAGTGGTTTCCTTACCAAAGCCTGCCAGCTTCTCAGGGTGACAAAACTCTGCCAACATCACTTCTCCGTGTCTCCTGCCCTCTATCTGCCCCTGTTGCCAAAATGGAGAGGAGCATTAATGCCGACACCGGGGAACCAGTCATCACCCCTCGCTGCAGAACATCAAGCTGGAGAGTTTTGCTTTCCTAATTCACAAGGTGGAAAAAAATGGGCACCAAGAAGGACAGTCAAGCTCTCCCATGCTACACCGGGAAACAGTGGCGAGAGAACCGCTGCTAACCTCAGCGTCGAGGTTGGTGGGATGGGGAGTCAGATTGCACTTCAGCTGCAAAAGCGCGGAGCTGGTGGGGACACGGGGTTACGGGAGCTCACACCAAGGCAAGGCTGCTCTGTGTGCACAGCCTGGGTTAATTCTGCAGTGAAGGGATAATAGAGGTGATGGAGAGGAGCAGTGCGGCAACCAGCGAGCAAGCCAAGCCAGCGATACGGAAAACTATCAAGCAGAAGTGTATCCAATAAACCAGAGTTTCCACTCAAAACCACCAGGCACTTCACCAACCCTACGCCCTTTGCAAAGCTGTCTGGCAGCTGCAGGAGAACACAGAGACATGTTTTGTGAAGATTTTCTGCTGTCCACTGTGGACACGCTGTGTCAAACTGTTCCAAGCCAGGAGCTCCTGCCTCTGTAGTTCTCCTAAGGATCCGCAGCCCATCCTAGCCAAACATTTTCCCTTGTAAAGAAATCTAAACAAGCCCGTGAAGCTTTTCCCCCTGGAGGTGAATTGGGGAACCCGGCTACAAAAGGTGCGGTTAGCAGGCTGAGTGCTGACCTCCTCCCATGACACAGCCTGTTTGCAGAAAAAAATGCCTGCAACAGGATGCCTGCAGCTTGAGAAAAAGGAAAAAAAGTCTTGGCCAGAGATAAAAAATAAAAATCCCACAGCAGTTTCTAATGTTCCAGCAGAAAAGGTACAACCATACGTTTCAGAGGCTTATTTGAAAACCCAACGTAAGAACTTCCGTAAGTTGCTCCTGAGAGATGTACCTGCCTCCCTGGGAATTAGCTGACCCTGCTAAGCTTGTGCTTCTGGGGAATCTCAGCATTAAAAGCCTGACGACTGCACCACGAGACCCCCAGCTTTAGCAATGTCAAATGCTTGAACGCCGTCCACAGGTGAAAGCTGTCATTTCAAGCACTGTGCTTCTTCCAATTCGAGGTGCTGACCCACCAGGAGAAGATCTCCAAAAGCCTTGGCTCTCACACTACCAACTCCGCAGCCTCAAAGTCACCCTTTTAACTTGGACCAGGCTAATCCCCCACCAGTTAAAGCACGTGTGGATAATCTGAGTTCACCCAGCTGCAAAGCCACGGTGCAGAGACCCAGGCAGCGCCCGGTGCAGGACGTGCTGGAAGCCATCAGCGGCAGAAGTCTCCTTCTGTTGAAAAGTTTGGGCATGCATGGACAGAAACACCTCGTGGTTAAAATGTTTTCTGGTTAGGCAGACTGAAGTCTGTCAATTAAAAGAAAAACACGCTTGGCAATTCAAACAAACTTCTCAAAAGCACTGCAGTACTACTGTAAGGGAGCAGTTACTTAGTAGTGAAATATATAAAGCGTTACCCACTGCTATTGAGACAGCACTTATGACAGCTCCCAAGTAGCCCTGGATGAACTTGGATGTCGGAGAAGGCTTTGGAAAGAAAAACAAAACATATTTTCAATAAACAAACTTCTGGTTATTAAAACGCGACCCAGCTTTTTTTTGTTTGTGTTGTTTTAGTTTTGTTTTAAACCAGAGACAGGTTTAATTTTTGTCATATTGTTCTGTGACACATGGTCTGTCATCTAGCAGCGGCAAAAGCAAGGAAAATTGTAGCCTCATGATCAAGGTTAAAGGGAATGGAAAATTAATTGGCATCAGAAAATTATAATAATAGCAGCTTAAAGGAAGCATGTGAATGAAATTCAGCAAATGGTACAAAATTAGCATCCTTACACACTAGTGATGAACCCCAAACTCTCCGCTTTAAATATTTGCCTTTGAAATGTTATTTCAATGAGCTGGATGGTTCCCAACTCAGCTTCCAGTCTTGAGCTTCCCCCATCCTGCCACGGGATGAATGAGGGCTGAAGCGGCGGAAGAGAGCGGGGACAGCCCCGCCACTTCCCAGCACCACGGCTGGGAGCGCACGGAAAGCCCTCGGGAGACGGCAACGTGATCGTGGAGCCGCCTTCTGCTCCCCAAAAACCCGGATACCATTTTGCTTTGTGCTCACTTACACATCAAATTAAATCATGTCATACCAGTCAGAACTATATACCGGTTCGGCTCAAAGGCACTGAGCGTTGCTTACGTGCCTCGAGCGATTTCAAGATCCTCATGCCATTTACAGCTGAGGTTTAAAATGGAAGCGTACACAGGAGAATGGCCAATCTATAAATTCATCACAGTGCCGACTCCAGAGTTTCTATTAACAGCGAAGAGACAGGACTTATGCTTCAGTGTCAAAACAGACCTAACGTGCTGCACGCGCCGCATATGTTGGGTCTCCTCACCTTTGTCGCGTTGCGGTTTGCATAGTTGACGCAGGCATTGTGGCTCTGATTCAACCACTAAAGAGGAAACAAGAAGAAACAGGCATAAACATAACTTCACCAATAAAAAAAATAATAAAAAAAAAAAGAAATCTATAAACGTGGGAGCGCCGCGGGGAGAACTCATCTGCCTTTGGACCGGCTCGCAACTCGTCACCTCTTTTCAAAGGCTTGTGCATATCCTCCATCCGAGCTAATTCCCTTCAAAGTGAGGGACAGAAATTCCAAGGCACCCAGTGCTTGGAGGGCAGTTCTGCTTCTCCGTATGCTTGATGTGCAACTCCTCTCCTGTCCCAGTCCACCTCCACACGACACCTCGGTGCTACTGGTCTTTATTTTCGCCAGTACCAAATCCATACTGCTGCGAAGACGTAGCAGTAAGCCCGGCAGCCAGTTTGTTGGTCATTTATTAAGCTCCATGCTTCCCAAACAGGGGGTCAACAGGAGGCTTCAGCTGAGGAGCAGGAGACGAGCAGATGTACCATCTTAGGGAGACAGATCCCACTAAACTGGTATTTTCTGTCCACAACTTTGGGGAGGAGGATTTGTCCCCAAAGCAGCGTGGCAGCAGTTGGGGATGAGTAGCACCACAACTCCTAAAGGGTTTTACCCACAGCAGATGCTGGCAATGTAAAGAAAATAATAGTTCCTGTCCCCGAAACACCATGTTTCCAGCGTGTCAGAACCAGACACCTTCCAGCTGCGGCCAGAACTGAGATGTGGGGAGGAATAAAGCGGGGATGAGGAGAAACAGAGTGAAATGAGGCACTAAAACACGGGGACCGGTCATTGCCGAGTCCACGGCCCAAGAGCACGTTTCTCCTCCTGACCAGCGCCCTAACCTGGACCTTTGGACTCAGCAAACTTGCTTTATTGTTTTATTTAAATAATAATAATTGTTACAAAGGCATCTTACCAATACGTGCTGGAAACTTGCCTCAATTTTCCAGATACTGGGGGTTTTTTTAACCCCTACTGCTCACATCTACATTAGCAGGTCCACAGGACCAGGCTAGACCCAGCCTGAGACCTGTACATTTTGGGCTTCAGCAACAACTGTTTCATGGTACAAACCTGCTCCTACAGGGCCCAGTGTTTGTTAACGCAGTCATATGCATCATCCCTAAATCCTGTGCTGTTCTCCTGAATATATCTCCTTTTCAGAGAGATGTAGACATACTGCTCAGATACTCTCCTTAATCTAGAGTTTAAGCCGTCTCTAGGTTGAAGACAGCCCCACTACTTGTTTCTTGAGTCCATCGTCTCGCCAGTTGGCTGCCTGACACCCTCCTGGGCTTTTTGGGTGGTTCCTCTCTAGGTTGCTACTTCTCCTACTTGCATTTTTCAGAAAGGGGTGACCCGTGTGCCCATCATGGTGGAGGGAAGAGCTTGAGAACCACTCGCCAAGCAGCAGCGGCGCAGACAGGCTACGGCTTCCTCCTCCAGCGGACTGGTTTTCGCTTCTGCATTTGAAACATTCTTTCTAGTTTTAAAAGGATTATTCCATCCCTTTAAAGCCAAAAGCCTCTCGCAGCTACGCGGTGGTGGTGGGAAGAGGAGCTTCTCAGGGAAGCCATTTACGAGGCACCCAGCCCAAGCCAGCTCTCTGGGCTGGCTCGCTCCTCACTCGCGCAAGAGCAAGTTCTCCAAAAGCCAACTCTCCCCATCACAGCTGTTTAAAAACAGGTGGGGCAAATTGCCTTCAAAAATATGAAGGAGTCGAGATGTCTCCAGCCACTACCCCACTCCCAGCAGGTAAAGCCACGTGGCACAACTTACAACTAAATACACCAAACCAGAAGTTCCTAGCACGTACTAATATATTCTTGGTTCTGCAGTCTTTCTAACATACTAGGCAGATCCCATTCTGCTTTGATATTTCTTAACCGCATAATCCTCTATCATCACTTACTCTGTAGACAATAAAAAGACATTCGCAACTAAAAATAAGTCTGAAAGTAACTTGGTTTTGCATTTCAGTTAGTGCTGAAATTATACTCAAGCAGGGTGTTTACTATGGATAAAACTCATTCACGCACACGCTTCTTCCCCTTCCTCTTAATTCCCAGAATTTTAATGGAAAATAACAGCAACATCCCCCTATACACAGACTTTTTTTTTTTTTCCCCGAAGCCCCTGTAGCGCACTGAATGCAGAGGTCTTTGGCTTTGCCATGCACAGTTATTCCCAAAATTCCTGGGCACAGGGCCTCCCGCTGCCCCCAGCCCTGCACACACGTTGCGCTTCCAACGGGAATTCACCAAGGAAGATCCCAAATACTTGACAGGGTGTCTTCAAAACAGCAGATGTGTGAGCTTAAGGGCCTGCATTTTCATGGAAGTACACACTGTGCAATCATATACATCTGTATAAAATGGGTCCAAAAAGCTGATTTTGAGATCCTGGGCTATTTTGCATCTCCCTCGCGATGGCACAAGCAGTCGGGTGCTGGAACACAGACCCAACAGTTTGCTTACAGCCCATTCCAGACCTACCAAACCTTGCTCTGATTATATCCAGCCACATCACCCCCCCATTAACTAAAGCATCGCCAGTGCAGAAAAGCCACGTGCACCAGTTTGTCCTCTAGACACAAGTCAACTGCCCGGTGCGCGGTGGTGGATGAGCATTACCTGCCAAAACACAGTGGATGCCAGCGTCTGGTTGGGCAAGAGAAGACCAACAACCTGCAAGAGAAGAGATTTTTCTCATTAGCAAACGCGTTGTTGGTTTGCTCTCGGTGCTCTTCTAGGCATGCAAGCAGCAAGCTTGTTTCTAATGACTTGAATAAATTATCTTCATTTCTGGCTTTATTTCCTCAGAGTTATGGAACTTCCCTGCCTATTGTCTCTCCATTTTCCAGTGGTGAAACTGGGTAACACAGCTGCCTGTGAAAGCTTTGCATCTTTAATTATTGCTTGCAACACACCTTGAAAAGAGTCTGGCAGCAGACGCTGTCCAAAGATTAGCTCACTAAAATATAATAAATTCTTTAATCCAGGTATTTCTGGAGGATAACACAAACATTGCACGAATGCAAGAGTTCAAAGTTGTTACTATTGGCAGCGAAGGGGGGTTTTTCTTATTTTCCTTTGGCACGTTCACTGTTTCAAGCACAAGAAAGAAATCCGACTCGAACATCTGAAGACAGGAGTGCCACCTGGAAGCACATGTGCTCCTGTTTGGGAGCCTGAATTCTGTTTGAAGAGAAGGGAATTGTTGATGTGTCATATTCCGAGCCGCGAAAACTTCTGCTTGGGTTACGAGCTCAGGCTGCCGATCGCCGCCTCCCAGAGGCTGCCGGCTGCCTGCCCCAGCACATCTGGCCAGGTGTTGCCGGCTGCTGCGTGAACGTGAGGTGCCACGGGCTTCGCAAGGTCACCCGGCACGGCACCCGAGGCCACACACGGGGATGGTGCCTGTCCTGGGTTGAGTGAGTGGTGGAGTTTTTTGGTGGCAGGGGAGGGGGCTATCGGGGCGGCCCCCTGTGAGAAGCTTCTCGAAGCTCCCCCAGCTCCATGTCAGCTCCACTTCTGTTTGGGAAATTGAGCCCATCGGCTGCGCCTCTGCGATAACGTATTTAAGAAGGGACGTGGTGACGGGCAGTGGGACTGGTGAGGAGGAGTTGCTGCAGCTGCATGAACACCAAGGTCAGTGGAGGAACGGAGGAAGAAAGGAGGGGGGAGGTGTGCCAGAGCAGAGACCCCCCTGTATCCTGTGGGGAGACGGCAGGGCGGCCCCCCCTGCCACCCATGAAGATCTGCGGTGGAGCAGACACTGATTTATGGCCTGTTGTTCCTGCTCAGCTAATCAAGGTGCTGTGCCCGAAGAAGGCCGGGGTCTCGTGGGGAAAGGCAGCCCCGCTGCTGTAATTCAGTGCTGGGAGGATTGCAGCATGCGGGGGAGTCCCACGCCGGAGCAGCTCGGGAAGGGCTGCAGCCGTGGGAGGGAATCCAGTCGGAGGGAGTTAGTGACCCACGACAGAGCAGTGTGGGGAACGCTGCGGCCCGTGGGAGGAATTCAAGTCAGAGAAAGTTTGTGGAGGACTGTCTCCTGTGAGAGGGGGACCACGATGGAGCAGGGGGTAACAAGTTCCGGACACTCCCCTCACTGAAGATGAAGGAAGTGGCAGCACTGACTGCACCCCCCATTCCCTGCCCCTGCGCCCCTGGGGGAGGAGGTAGAGATATCGGGAGCAGAGCTGAGCCCGGGAAGAAGGGAGGGGTGGGGGGAAGGTGTTCTCAAGATGTGGCAATGCTTCTCACTGTCCTACTCTGTTATGTGTTGTTAGTGTCTGCGATAAATGTGTGTTTTTTTTTTTTTCTTCCCCTAACGAGTCTGCCTTTTGCTCGTGATCATAAAGGGGATTTTTTCCCCATCCCAGTCCTATCTCGAACGCCAAGCCTGGCTCTCTGTCCCTTCTCATTGCCGGAGGGGAGGGGAGAGAGAGGTGCTGCATTGTGGTTGGCTGCCAACCAGGCCTAAACCACGACAGTGCCTTACACAGTTCTGAGAGCATCCTTGGGACGTGTCTCAACACACCTCCTCGGCACACCCTCTGCAACGCTTTAAAGACCCCACCTCTGGCCCACGGCGCAGCACTGCCAGACTCCCTCCCACCTTGTTTTATGGCAATCTTTCCTCTTAAAGCATAAGGAGTTGAAGAAGAGGAAAAGGGCTGCAAAGCAGTGGGACTCCCAACGATAAACCCAGCAAATGTGGACAAGAAGATGAGTTCGTGGGCAAGAAACAGGTGAGATGCTTCCTAACGTCACTGCAATCTTCTCTCCTCCTGTGCCTTAAACGCCTGATAGTTTCAGAAGAAGATGGTCTTCTCGTTGCAAAATCATGCCTGCATCTTTGTTGAGAGGAAGAAGACTGAACAAATCCTTTTAATTCCAAATACATTTCTTTTGAGGACGCTCATGTGAACTGAAACATCTCCGAGGCATCTGGGCAAGAATGCTGTGGGTTCATTCCCACACTCAGACCGTCCTCTGCACCGTTTTCTTTAAATTTATTCCTAAAGAGGCTGAGAAGAAAGAAAACTTCCCTGTTAGAGGACTGAGAGCCTGCTGCACGGAGGGATAAGCTAAAGCCATCTCTGCACATCTGCAGCAGCATCAGTTGAAGAGGAGGCAACTTCTACGCTTAAGGACATAAGAGAGAAATAACAACAAACAAAAGGGTAATAGGGTTGGGAGGCCTGATTTCATTTACATCTTCTTTCCTTTCTCCTCCTCCTCCTCCAGCTTTTCCTCCTACAGCCTTTCGTGAAGTTACAGCTACTTTGTACGCTGGCCGAGCGCCAATCTGTGCAAGTTACACTAATTTACTGCTTCCATTCAATATGCGGATCTTGTCATTAATTACTCCGTTGCCGGTCTTAGCCAAACGAATTCAACAGGCGATGAACCTCCTCACCCTAGGACTGACTTACGCGCCTGAAGCCAGCGGGCTAATGAGGCTCCGGAGGAGAGGGAAGACTGCAGGCAGCTACTTACATTGTCAGCTGAAGCTGAGCGCCGAGAAAAATAAAAGAGGAAAATAAATAAATAAAAAAGAGCACCCAAAATCTGTATGACTGAAAGAGGCACGTTTAAATGCAAACTCTCCATATGTGCAAGAGTCTGTCAAGAAATGTACAGCTTCACTTTTAATTACTGTCAGGGGAAAAAATAACTAAGAAGGAAAACAAAATAAAAAAAGCTTCTAAACACTACAAAAGTACCAGCTACAAAATTTAATTGCCTATCAGGTGTGAACCGGCCCTTCGTGGCCCCAAAGCCGGGGCTAAAGCCGCCGCTCGGACATCTGTGGGCTCTGAGCAGCCTCGTGGCACGTTTGCATTACGAGCTCTCCTCTTGCAAGCCCCAAGTCCTGCCTCGTGTGTGAGTCACCTGCAACCCCGTATTAACACCCGGGTCTTCTCCACGTGCTTCGAAACCTCAACAAACACACCCCCACCCCCCCACCCCGCTCCATTTTTAAATGGCTGGGGAAAATCAGGTGCTTAAAGCTGTGGGTGGCAGCTGGGAACAGCAGCGCGGCTCCTGCTCCGTCCTCCCTGCCCATGTCTAGGGCTGAGCTTCTGAAATACAGATAAATCTTCCTCCTCGGAGCCTTTTAGCCCTGGGATGAAACACAAAAACCCAGGGTAAAAGGCTACAGCCCAGCAGCCGCCCTGTGCCTCTCACCCCTGCAGCAAAGGGAGATAACGCGAGCGGCTGGATTTGCTCCCTCCCGGGCTGAAATCCAGGTGGGCAAACCACAAACTCTCCTTCCACTCACACGTACCCCCGTCCTGTCCCCACTGCAGCCGAGCCTGGGGCCGAACCGTAAACCTGAGCACAGAGAGGACGGTGGCTAAAAAGAAAAGCAAATGATTGCAACTCAGGGGAAAAAATAAACAGCCGCAGGATTTGGTTGTGTCAGGGGAGTAGCTGCTTCGGCCAGAAAAGATTATTTTCAGCCAGACCTTAATCTCTTTCACAATGAGCTAAACCATACTGAATTATTTTGCATTAGCTATAGGGGAAAAAAAAAAAAAAAAAAAAAACAAAAAACAAACCAACATGAATATAGGCAGCATCGTGTATTGACTGATAGGCAGTAAACCTGTTAATACATAATCTGATCACGTCCCTGCCGGTATCTACGCAGGGTGTTTAACTGACACCCCCCCCCCCCAACGTCGGGACAATTAGTGCGGGTGCAGCGGCACGCCGGCACGGCTCTGCGGGCGAGGAGAGCCACGCTCGCTCAGCCAGAGCCCACCGCAGGCACATTAAGTCTCTCTTGAGGAAATCCCATCCCCCTATGTGAAATGCAAGACTCAAACTGTTTTTATGCTAGAGCAGGCTGCCAATTTTGTCACTAAATTTCACAGATCGATTGGCATAAATGTTACATTTTAATTTTAACATTTGAAACGTTTGGGTTTTTTTTTTTTTTTTGGTTTTTTTTTTTTTTTTTTTTTAAATGACAAGAGGTTCCAGTTTATCCTTTACAGCTAGTGAAATTGGGCTCATCTGACAGCTCTCGGCTCCTCTGACAGCTCTGGATTTGGGCCGATTTCATTGTCAATTTGATCGTTAACTCATTTTTGTTTAACCTTTTCTTTTAAAATGCCCCATACAAAGTTACCACCAAACCCTTACCCACGACAACAAATAGTAACAGCCACCATGATTTCTGCTTTTAGGTGCTAGCAACCCTGCTATAGCCATTCGGGAAAGGATCGTTACCTTTAAACAAATGCTATGCCATGGTCCACTGGGTTTAGGAAGATTAAATAGAGCAGAATTTGCTCCTGCAACCATTTTAATATGGGTCATCTAACAAGCTGAGCCAAGAGCTGGTGGCTAGGAGGACCGACTACCTTTTGGCACCGACTTTGGGAGATGTGGGGCAAAGCCACGTGCCTCGGTTTCCCCGTTCATAAAATGGGGTTAATTAACCGTCCCCGAAGATGAGCTGAGGTTTCAGCATCAGGAAGACAGGCAGAATCATCTCCCTTCTGGCTTTCGCTATCGAGAGCACCCGATTGCTTACAAATTTCACAATAACAAGTACAAACTAAAAACGCCCTTAGCAATAACCCCACGGAAAGCGCTCGCCGTTTTAATTAATCAAAACGAGAGCGCACGACACCGGCCTCGCCGTGCTGTAGCTTGTCACGTTCGGGAAGCGACTTGTAAAACATGCAAATGGGAAAAAAAAAAAAAAAAAAAAAAAAAAAAAAAAGTGTCCAAAGATGAAATCCGAGAGTTGCAGAAGTTGCATTTTGCAGGCAATGAGCTCATCTTGGTCTTCCCTTTCCAGAAGGGAAAGATAAAGCTGAAGGCATGGCAGGGGGCTGGGCGAACGACGTTAAGTAGATAAATAACCTTGAGCACAACAAGCTGTGTCCACAGGGCAGGTTTTCCATGACGAAGCCCTTGCTAACGTGTGACAGGAAAGGTGGGAACCGTGTGTGAACATGTTGCGAGAAGGTAAGGTGGCATTGGGAGAATTGTCTGCGAGTGCTAAAAAATGCATTTCTTGGTACTTGCAAACAAATTGGGGAGAGATGTTAAGATACTTACGATGGGCGTTCCAAAGGGAATGTAACCTATTAAAAAAAAAAAAATATGCATGCATTTTAATAGGCAGTTTTGGGATGGGAAAAAAAAAAAAAAAATCACATTAAGACATCTACCAGCTTAGGGTAGAAGCCACACCTGGTGTGATGGGCTGCACTCACTTCCACCAGCTCCCTACCACCATGGGGACGTCTGTGGCCCTACACCTGATGCACCAAGCATCAACTAGAGCAGCCTCCTGATTTTTGCCCGGTCTCCTTCTCATCCTCTATTTGTTTTTCTTGAGTTGCCGTCGAAGAGTTTCTCTGAAACTTATAGACATCCAGACCCTAAATCTTACTCCAGCAAAGCCAGTCTGTGCCAGGACGTGGTGTTAGCACTTCGGAGGGCATCGTGTCGTTGAGCTGGGCTAGGCAGCCAGCAAAAACTCAAATCAGCAGAAGCGAAGGGATGACAGCTCAGACCAGGAGCTGCTCGGTCTGGACCAGGAGGAGCAGGATGCTGCTAACTGAGCTGACCTAGTGGCTTGCTGCCACGGAAAAGGGGGAGATCCTGCCCCCCCCCCCCCCTTCCCAGGCTCAGTCACGCAATCTGTTCCCTCCCTCGTGCCAGCTCTGTTGCTCATCAGACCCTCCCACAACCTACCCTCGCTAACCCAGGAGAAAACTCCCCGGCTTCCCGTGCCACTTCCCCTCTCGTTGAGCCTGGTCCCGCCAGGACAGCGTGCTGAAGACACTCCTGAAGCCATCTAAGCTGCAAAGGCCATTCCAGTTAAGGAGCAGAACCATGCCACCACAGGGGGAAATCTCCCTCTTTCACCGTCTCCTTTATCAACCTATCCACTAGCAATTCTATAGCAGGGGAAATCATTTATTTCTAGGTCAGTAGAAAAAGGAATGGGGTATAAGCTGAAGAAATTACATTTGCATCATGGAGGAGAGAGGGACTGTTTTAATCATAGGTGTAAGTTAAAGCTCTCTATATTAGAGATGAGCCTTTACCCCAAATCTTATTGAGCGCCACAAAAATCAAATGCTTCACATTTTTCCCCTGCTAAGTCTGCCAATTTTTGTGCTAATTATAATTCATCTCTATGACTTCCACTAGAAGGTCTCAGAGCATTTTACCAATATTACTGAATTAAGCCTCACGGATCCAATTTACAGTCGGAAAGGGCAAAGACCTGAGAGGAAGAAAAATTTTTTAAAAAACACAGAACAAGGCAGCGAAGCAGTGGGTCCTGGCTTTTCTCCCCTCCACTTCACCCTCGACACCATCCTTCTTCAAAGAACTGGAAAACAAAACCCATCAACCCTGTTGGTTTTCCCCTGGGCCCGGTATTCAGGTGAAGATGTTCCCCCTCAAAATGTGGAAAAGGTTGTATTTGTTTAAATAGGTGCTTTGGGAAGGGACCAAGGCTGCACTTGCATCCTCGAGAGAGCTGCTGTTCAACCCCGAGCAGAGGTACCTGTGGGCCTGCGAATGGCAGAGGGACACCCCAAAGCAGGAAGGAGGAGGCAGTGATTTAATCATTAAGCCACGGACAGGCCGATTTTTCCCAGGCTCCCAATGCCATGACTATTAGGTACCACTGCACACGGAAAAATAGGGCTCATCCCACTCTCTCCTGAAGAATAAAACCCTAAGCTGCTCGTCGGGCAGCAAGCCTCACTGCTTGCTACAAAATTAAAATGCCCATTATAGCGACAGATACCTCAAAAATGACAAAAAAGACGTTAGCTTGAGCCCACGTTAAAATATCTGAAGGGAAGGAAAATACTAAGCACTAGATCTCGCATAGGCATTTAGGATTCTAATTCTCCTTGATTGCAAAGGGATTCAGGCGTTTGAATCACTTTCTGATGTTGGTCGAAATGTTTACAAGACGCAATTCAAAAACGGGAGGAGAAAAATAATAAATAAATAAATAAAAAATTGCACAAATTCCCAGTAAAATTAACGATTACCCGATCGGGATGTACCATACCTGACATTCGGAAAGGCATGAAGATGGTCTCATTTGTGTCAGGATGGATGATGGCCTGTAAAAGAGTCAGCAAACAGACACAGTGAAGGCACAGCAACAGTTGGCAAGGCGCAGCGAAAGCCAGGGCTCAGCCTCTACAAATAGCACCTTCAACCAGAGACTACCGGGGGGCTTCACGCGTCTCGGCCCCCTCCTTGCTTTTGCAGCTCCGACCAAAGGTGGTTATTGCTTGGCAGCCTCCACAAAACCTCTCCCCACCACTGCTTTCCCCTCTCCTTAAATCATTTAGTGTAAGTCCATCATTTAGAAGAAAATCATTTAACCTAAAATACAGAAAGTGGCTCTTTCTTGGTGCTGTAATTGCGCTCACCGCTGCCCCTTAACCGCAGGGGGTGAAATGCAGATTTAGGAGGGGATAAAGGGAAACCTATTTTCTGTCCCTGCCTCGTCTCGGCATCTCCACTGAGATGCAGCTTCATGTCCTGGCTGAAACTCTGCCCTATGGAAAAAAAAAAAAAAAAAAGGAAAAGCCCTCGCTGTGCCACAGGGATGGGGAGGGCAGGACTGCCTGCTCGGGGAGGTGGGGACAGACAAGGGTGTAAATCATTTTATGCTGCTTGTGAAGCAAATGGGTCACAGGAGACCCTCCCATAAAGATTGGCTTGGCCACGGTGGAGGGATTCGGCGTGAGGAACATCTTCCCCATCTCCAGATACGTCTGCACGAGCCCGCGCAGCACGTCGTAGGAAACCTGAGGTGCTGCCTCAGAATCCGGCTGAGTTGGGTCAAAAACACACAGGTGTGGGCCACTCGGGCTGTCCCCATCAGGGTGACCCGAATAAAATCCCCTCGCACGCCATGGGATTTGGATTTCCCAGATAATTCAACCTTTATGTGTACCCGCAGCTCCTCAGCCAGCGGTGGTGGCTGCGGACAGCCCAGCCTCCACGGAAATCCTAAATCTCTTTTCCTGATAAATGGACAACGAAGCTCACTTGGCCTATTTTTACCAAATTTTACAATGAGTCCAGGAGGCTGCACTGGCATTAACTGGCTGGGGATGAAAAATCAGTCCCCAAGCAATCCGGGACTGCAGAGGAGGAAGGTACGACACAGTTACAAGCCTTACCAAAGAACTGTCAAACTATTTTCAAAAGACTGGAGGCAAGAAATCTCTTGACTAGACAGGAAGGAGAAAATGAAGACATCAAAATATATAAATACAAAAAAAAAAAAAAAAAAAAAAATCAGACTCTTTGGTGGCAACAGTGTTCTCTGCATTTACATTTCTGTGGCAAGACAAAATAGCAACTGGCAAAGTCAATAATGGAGAAGAGGACAGCATCGCTTAGCAGAAAGGAAAAAAGCAGCAAGAGTTGAAAACAATGATGAAATATATATAAAAAAACGCATATTACCTGCTTTATTTTTTGAGCTCCCCACAGCTAGAAAAATAAAAGAGAACATTGCATTTAAAAAAACGAGCAGTGTAGTTTTATACCAAACCCCCAATATTCACCTTTTAGCTGCTGTAGTAAATGAACACGAGGGACTGCTTTAAAACAGACTCATTTTCTGCATCCTTCCAGGATGCATTTAAAGATCCTTTACACACACCGAGCTCCTTCAAACCTGTGTGGCCAGGAAGACCAGCAAGGCAAGGAAGATATTCTTTCTTATATTGAATGGTAAGAAAGAATAACAACAGCCAGACTTCACGCTCTGCTCTAAGCTTTACAAATCGAGAATTATCTCAGTGACTCTGCCGCACGTCGATCTCAAGGTAAATTTAGCACAGCCTCTCCTTGGACGAGCTTCCTGCGGAAATCGAGGCTTGCTGGGGAACAAAGGTGGAGCGAGCCCTGCAGGGAAATACAAGAAGTATCTCTTCAAATAAAACCTCAATTCAGAATAAGCCACCACTAGTTTTCCTTTTTCACAAGGCAAATGCACTGAAAAATGCTCAAGAAGAGGAAAAATCTCATTTCAAACTCTCACGAGCGCCTACTGTTATTTACTGACTGTAACTCAGCAGCACCAAAACACCTCAAATCAGGCTCAGCCAGCGGAGATCTACGAGTGCTGAGGACAAAACATCCTACGTGAGGTGCAGGCAGAGCTAATGAGTAGGTGCACAACATCAAGAGACGCTCTGGTATATACATAAACCCATAGTTTGCCCCCTGCTTAATTAAGGCTTTCCTCCATGAATTAGACGTAAATACAAATTATAATTAAAAAAAAAAAAAAAATAAAAAAATCCTCATTTTGGTGTATAGAATTCTAGAGGAGGATGAAAAACCAGGACTCGTGTGAAATATCAGGAGAGATCAATTGCTTTTACTATTAAGAACTGTTCTGCTCAGCTCAAGTCTGGCTTCAACTTCCAGGCACCGGCTTGTGTTACACCTCTGTCTGACAGCCTCCGGCGCGGTCTATTTTTGTTCTTCACACAGGTACTTGGAGCTGCTAAAGCCACCCTTTAACCTTCTCTTAAAGAAAAAAAATAAATATATAAAACTCATCCGAGCCAGGAGACTGGCTGTTTCGCTGGCAAGGCGCGTTTGCCAATCTTTTAACCACCCTCGTGGCTCTTTTACATCTTTCCAATTTGTCAACATCCTCTTGAATCGAGGACGCCAGAAACCAGACAAATTATTCCAACAACAGTTGTAGCAACGCCAAACCAAGGGTAGGATAACCTGATGAGTTCTGCTCTTGCTGTTGATAAACCCGAAGATGGCAATAGCCCTTTTTGCTTGGAGAGCTCACGATTACCCACCCGAACACCTGCCCCAGCACCGTGCGCGTATTCTGCGTTCACGTTTAAGATTGCATCCTTATTCTGGTATAAATTAAGCGCTATTCCGCATTCTTCTTCACCCGAGGTTTAGTGTCTTTCCCAAATATAAATCCAATAAAATACGGTAGGAATGAGGTAATTACTCTATTATAAACATCATAAATTGAACCGCTCATGCTAGTAACCCCGCTATTTCACTCCAAATTCAGCTCTCACTCCAGAATTGAAGCTCCGTGATGAACTCGACTGCGCGCGATGAGTTACTGGAGTATCTAAATGTCACAGGCTGATGCACATACCCACAGGGCTCTTTCCTAAGGAAAATTTCCCTTTTCAAGGCAAATCATTACTCCCCATTTTACAGTTGAAAAACAGAGGTTGAGGGACACGGAGAGATGAGCTTTGCGGTTGGCAGAGACAAGATGTGCCTACCCTCACCAATCCTAAAATCCAAAGGGTGGGAGGCTGCCTGCCCAGGGCTTTTCTGCACCTGCCTGCCCACCGGCTCGAGGACTTCCATGGGGGGAAAGTGGAAGCCCTCGAGCTGCAGGTGACTACCCAAAGCATCCCAGTAACCCTACGGCCGCCCAGGTCTCGCCTATCTTAGATGTGACACAAAAGCACAGGATTTTCCTCTCCAATTGCAAGTAGCAAGACCAGCAAAAAGGAAGAGGGATGGTTTCTGAGCCAGCGCTATGGCTTTTTTGGTCAAATTATCTAATTTCATTAATTGATCCCAATATTTATGCATTTTCCTGCGGCAGTGCAAATATTGTTAGAACATGCGATTTCATTACTTCTCAGAAAGAGACTTTACAAGATGCACCTGATGAGTCACCTAAAGATCCTGCCAGCTCATTTTCACTTTTTTATCCTCTAATTCATTTTCTGTCTGCAGCATTTTTCAATAGCTCCAGTACTCTGACGAGTCGTGCCAGCTGGGGGGCTCGTTTCTGAGAGCAAGTCTCTATTTTTGCCGGGGATTTCATTCACGCTCTCTCCGGCCATCTTCGAGAAGCAGACAGATTTTGATCTCATTTACGCTAACGTGAATCCAAAGCATCTTCACTGGAGCACGTAAAATGACTCCAGATTCGTGCTCAATTTATGTTAGATTTAAGTCCGTGATATCTAAATATAGTCAGCCTATTCTGGGTGGGTCTCCTGTAATAGATGATCGTCTTTTACATCAGCTTTGCTGTGTCTTACCAGCTCAAAGCTACACAGGGGTTTTGTCATTCAAATTTGGGTGCAAGAACCAAACCTGCTCATACATGGGCTTACCCCAAAGAAGCCTGGAGAACAAGGGGACAGGAGTGCTGGAATGCTGTTAACATATTCCACTGCCTGCCCAGCAACCTAAGCAGGCAGCAATGGACAAATTTCTCCAGCCTGTTGCCACTGCAGCCTTCCACCAGGACAGAGCAGCCTCCGTTTCATGGAGATGTCCCTGGAGGTCGTGGAGGAATCAGCTCCAGGATTGTTTGCAAGCGCTTCCAGCACCAGCATTTCAGGAGACTGGACTCATGGATGAGATTTCCATCCATCCTTCCCAGGACTCTGGGGTTTTTTCTACAACTTTTTGAGGAAGAGATACTCACCACTTTGCTCACCACTTAAACCAGACAGCTTTAAAGCCCTGAACTCAGGAACTGAACTCAGTTATATAGAAATATTACGTGCTTATGACATTTAAGGAAGGGTATCAAAGACTGCCGCAACCTAAAGAGAACCAAAGCTGTGGTAAGGAGCTAGAGACTGGAATAACTCTTGGGGAACAGATTTGATCTTTGCTTGACAGGACAGTCATTAGCAGTCCTTATTTAGCAGCAGAATCGCAGCTTAGCGATAGTTTTCAAAAGAAGTGCTTATTTAAAAAATATACCCAGCCCAAATCTATTAGCTAACACCTGCTACTATAAAAGCAGTACAAAGGGTACCGGTTATTCTTAAAAGATTGGCTTCCCTCCTATTACATACAATAAGATTTCATGGTCCTGGACTTAAAGATGGGATTTTTTTTCCCCCCTCTGCACGAAAAGTTTCACCTAGATTAGAAAACCGTGTCTACAAATTGTTTGCCCTTGTTTCCAGCAGGCTCCAACGCTGCTAAAACAAGTGGCAGTTCCACTCGACACGAGTGCAGTTGGCTGTATCCAGACCATCTACTCCATCGCCGAAGTTGGCCGCGGGTGTCCAAGGCCAGGAGAGCACCCACTGACTCACACCACCTACTCCTTTGCGTTGCCAGCAACCACCTCCCTACGGTCAGTGAGGACACAAAGGCAGATTTAATGTCAGGAATCTGTAATAGATGCTCTCACGCTTCCCTCCCTCGACTGTAGACACCAACAGGATCTGGGTCCCTTGCAAAATACTGTAGTGGACACTGAAATGACCTTAAATCCACGGGTGCGTGCTCTGGCTATGCCTCGTCAGGAATAACTCTACAGAGAAAAGCCCTTACCAATTAACCACACGTTAGACATGCATCAAGACAAGGCACAGCTATTTTCAAAGAGCTAATGAGGAGTTGTGTGGTAGACCAGCCCAACATACAAGAAAAAACACACCAGTTTAAGCTTTGCAAATATTAAGTGGCCTACCTGTGTTAGACTTTGCGCCAACACCACTGACAAGTTTGCAGAATTCCCCTAGTAAAGACAAGGTTGAAGAGGAAATCCTCAGAAAAATGAGTATTTTTAGTTCATTTATTTCACCTGTCCGGTCAAGAGGAGACAGAGCTCCAGCTCAAAATCTGCTCATCCCCTTCTCGTTCCATTATGGAGGTTCTCACCCTTTCACGAGTCCCCACGAAATCTTGATCTTAATAAAGTAACAGCCCGGAGTTTGCACCCCATCAGAAATTGCCAGTAGTTTCACACTCTGGGAGTTGCAAGGTTTATTAAAGCAAAGCTCGGATTATCTATCCCACACTGAATTCCAAATATTAGGTGTCGGGAGCGGAACGTGTGATGCAGCAAAGCTTGTTCTGAAGAAGAGCAAGCTGCTTTCACACGCGTGACCATTCGGAGGGACAGCCTCCAACACCAGATGTACTTTTCTGATAACCCCCGTTGTTTAAATGACACAGAACCAAAGGAAGAAAAAAAAAAAAAAGAAAACCTGGCTCAAAAGGTGTAACTCACTGCGCTTGGAAGTCACTGAGAAACACTTCAGACCAGCAACAAGTATCTGGCATCACATCAGGCTCAGGTGATGTCAGTGATGATGCTGAACGGGTTTTAACTTCATTCTGGATCCCTTAACTGGTAGTTGAATGGCCAGAGTAAGACACTGGAGGTGGGACTCACACACTTCTACAACGTAATAAATACCTCCTGCAGCAATTTCTCTGGATTTCCTTTATGTCAGAGCACAACCTGCTCTCCAGCACTGCCGCCTTCTCTCCGTTAAGATGAGACCTACATGATTAGTTCTGGCTCAAATTGGGTTTGGCTCGAGATGTAAAAACATCTTAAAGCAGCAAGCACCTGCAGTTCGTACCAACTTCACCATGGCTTGCAAAACCATTTTCTTTGGGTTCCAATGGCAGTTGGATGGAAGTTGAAGATTTTGTGTCAGAACTTTTAGGAATCCCAGACCTAAGCACTACACCTTTTCCAAACAGGTCTCCTACAA